GATTCTTTGCTCTCCTCACACCATTCAACGTTGCAAACTGTGATGAGGGTCAACTCCTGCCTGCTGTCTGCTTTTGCAAATAGTTCTAATGAAATATAGCTTCACTCATTTGTTTATGTACTGACCATGGCTTTCCTTTTCTTTTTTCTTTTGAAGAGGTTTTTGCTTTAGGGCGCGTGCACTCACCAGACAGAAAGCGAGAAATCACCCCCCAGGGGGGATGGCCACACCGCAATCCCTTCTCCATTCTCCTCTCAGGATCTCGGGCATGCATGCACACGCGCCCAGCGTGAGTTTAAGCCGCTGGGTCCGGGACTTGAATTGCGGTCGACTACATGGGAGTCCAGCAACAAAGCCATTACGCGAACTGCTGGTCCCTGACCATGGCTTTCATGCCACAATGGCAATGTGAAATATTTACTGCCTAGTCTTTGATGAGTTTGCTGGTCCCTGCTCTAAACTTACCACTCAACCCACTTTACCTTGAGTAGAAGACTTCAAAGGAATACAAGACGCAAAGTGAGAATACTATGCATTTTAAGGCAAAAAAATAAAAACAAGGTCCAAATCTGATTCTGCATCCATGCATTTCTTCCTGCTGTGTGCTGTGGGCAATCTCCATCTAGCATCTGATTCCATTCCTCCCCTCTTCCAACTAGGACCTTGGTACTCCCATCTGTATTCTAGTCTCTGACTCCCTATCATCACCTTAATGACATTTCTCCCACCAAGGAGAACAAATCAAAATAAGAAACCCATCTTAAACTCCATCCTATAGCTACAGTTTCCCATTCTTACCAAAAATGCCGTATTCTATACTTGGAGCATATTTCCTCAGTCACTCCAATTCTAGTTCTTCACCTACTCCAAACTTATTTCCTGCTTAAGAAATCTGTCTTATGGGACCAGCAGTTAACATAATGGCTATGTCGCTGGACTCCCACATAGTCGACTGCACTTCGCATCCTGGACCCAGAGGCTTAAACTCACGCAGGGCGCTTGTGCATGCATGCCCATGATCCCGAGAATGGAGGAGAAGGGATTGCAGTGTGGCCATCACCCCTGGGGGGGGGGTGATTTCTCGCTTTCTATCTGTCTGTCTCTTTGTCTTTCTGGCGAGTGCACATGCCCTGTAGCGAAAACCTCTCCAAAAAAAAAAATGTTTTATTTTCGCTTCTGGCCGTTCAGCAGCAGATGACACTGCTGAACATTTCCCTTAGCATTCTCTTATTTGTCCTAGCACACTTTTCTGATTTTATCTTTATGATTGTATTCATAGATCTTTTGCCAGTTCCTCTTTCTCTGCTTGTTCCTATTTTGTGCCCTGGGCACCCTCCTCCTTAATCTGCATAGACTAATTATCACGTGTGTATTTATGATTCCTGACTTTAAAATGGAGATCATGCTCACATTTAAGATTCACATGTCCAACCAGAATGCTCCATTGGAACTTAAGTTCACAGCTTCCAAACAGATTTTTTTTTCTTCCCAAACTATTCCTACTTTTGTGATTATTTTATCAATAATTAATACTATATCCTGTCCAACTTATCCAAATATAAAACTTGACTTCCTTGACTCCTCCTTTCTTCTACCATATGGAATTTATTTGTAGGTCCTTTTGGTATTTCTTTTCAAATCGCCCCTTCTTCATCCTAATGTCCCTAGCCTAGCACAGAGCACTAGCATCTTTCATCTCTTAAGATGTCAGTATCACACCCCGTTAGCCCCCGTCCAATCTATGTGAAGATTAATAAGACTGTTGACATTCATGACATATCCCCATTTAAAATAGCTTATTGCTCATAGTGAACTTTTACTTTTAATAAAGCCTGTAAAAAATGAACAAAAATGACACTGGCTTACAATACAGGTCTTCTCCACTTACACACTAGCGTATACTCACGTTCATTTTCATTCCCATAAATTTTTCGTATGAACCTTGGTTAATCTCTGGGACTTCACGTACGGGTTAGCTGACATTCTCCCTAGGCCACCACTCAATCTCAACTTAAGTATCATTTCTTCAGGAGAGCCATCTGGTACTTCCGTCCCCACCACCAACCAGGTATCTCTCTGATATTCCTACCACAGTAATTATCACACAGTGTTATGTAATGGTGCTTTCTTCAGAAAAATAGTCATGAGGACATAGACTATTGCTACATTATCACTCTAAACAGAGTTTAACATGGAGCCAAGTACTCCATTCAATTAATTGTTGATATAAATGAAACCGAATCAACTTTATTTTACCATTCTTATCCTTGTGATCTGGGACCATTTCTCAACTTTGCCTTCTCATTCAAATGTCTGCTCTATTACTGCTGGTATTTGTCAAATGTAATGCATCCCACTTTACTATTCTTTTTCAATTGCATGTAATTTCCATTTTTCATCATGCCTGATCAATTTTAATAATGATTCTCACATTTTTTTTAGCACTTCATAAAGTATACATTCTAAAATCCTTCAGCTTATGGCAGTACATCCATTTCAGAGCAAAGTGAATATCAGACTCCTCAGGGCACTAGTTGCAGTTTGTGCTTTCTTATTCACAAATCCTACAATTTTTCTCTTTGCTCATACCTATTAAGACCCAGCTTGAATATGAACAAAAGGGTTAAGATTAGATACTACAGAAACTGCCTGTATGTCACAGACTGGCATAAGACTATATAAATGGAACAAGGTGGGTTGGGGGAACACGAAATAGAAAGAAAAGTACAATGGGAATGAAACTTTTTGGGCCACTATTTATTGCACCTCTGGTACCAAAACACGTGACATATTGTTTTAAAAAATTCTAGCAATGTATCTTCTATTTAAAAATAGTTATCAGGGCAAGTCTGTAGTGTGGTTGTTGAGGTGGCTAGATCCCACACTGCTGACTGTAAAGTTCAAGGCCCAACTTGGCAGCTTGAAAGACATGCTGTCTGTGTGTTCAAAATCCTGAGAGGAGAATGGAGAAGGGACTATAGCATGGCCTCCCCTGGGGGGTGCTTTCTTACCCTGAGTCCCCTCACTCTTCAGAGGGCACATGTGCCCTAAACCAAGCCAAACCAAAGTTATCAAAGTCATTGCCACTCCTGGTCTTCTTTAGAAGCATAATTCTGGGGTAGTAGACTGAGGAGACACATCTCAATGTTCTTAGTATAAAGGAAGTCAGCTGCTGCGGACCAGGCGGGAAAAGGTTATAGTTCATTAGGAAAGTGGATAATATGATCGCTTTGTTCTGTTTTACTGTATTTGTATCAACAATGGTTTAAGTTTTCAACCCTTCTTTTATTAAGAGAGATTGTGTGTGTGTGTGTGTGTGTGTGTGTGTGTTTGTGTGTGTGTATTGGGATATAAAAGCTTTGTTACTATGCTTTTCTTTTTTTTTTTTTACATTTGGCCATAAGGCATGTGTGCTTACTGGAGAGAGACAGGGAAAATGCACCCCAACTGTGGGGATGGCCATGCTGCAATTTCTTCTCCTCCATTCTCCTCTTAGGATTCTGGGCACCCATGCACATGTGCCTGGCATGTTTTTCAAGCCTCTGGATCTGAGACTTGAACCACACAGTTGGCCATGTGGAATCCAGCTACTTTAATTACCATGCCACCAGCTGATCCCACCTGCCTTTCTACTGCCACCTTGGCCATAAGTTTTAAGCACTAATTGTGTTACTAAGCTACTTCAGTTGGGGACTATGCTATCCCCACTTTATTTTATTTTATTCATTTTTTAATTTGCCAAAAGGCACATGTGCTCACCAGAGAGAGACAAAGAAAAGAGAGAGAGGGAAAGTGAGAAAACACCCTCATAAGGCATGATCACATAAGAATCCCATCACGTCCACTTCTCCCTTTTCAGGATTTGGGGCATACATACATGGGTTTCTCAAGCTGCCAAATCACGGACTCAGGCCACACAGTTGGTCATGTGGGATCCAGCCACGGTAACTACCAGGACATGAGCTGGCCCCCTAATCTGCTTTTTGATAACAGCATATGATTAAGTTGTCTGAGATAAGTAAAATTAAGAAGGAATGGGCAGTGTAAAGAAAAAAGTGATCTTTCAGAGTTATATAAATGGTATATGACATTAGAATGATACCATTATTCAATATCAATGGTACATACAGACTAAAATATATGTGTAATACCTCACAGTTAAGGAATAAAATACCTCAGTTAAGAAATAAGTCTTTACTAGGTTCCAAAGAATACTAATTTCTCTATGTAGAAAAACTATTACTATGCATAATTTATTAAATCAGATACGCAGTTCTTTTACAAAACATCGAGCTTATCTAAAAGAGTTTACATTTATCAAATAAACACAAAATAAGCCAATTAATTCTGAGTAAGTAGTAACAACTTTATTTTAACTCAGTGTGCTGAAATGCAAAAATATTTTCAGCAATAAGATACAAGTAGTATCTCATTAACATCAGCTTATTAAAAACAAGACTGAAAAGTCAATATAGTTTTTATACATTTGAATATTGAAAAGCAATTTCCCCAAAACTAATTTTTAAATAATTTTAGCAGAATTTCAATTTCAAAAATGGGACTCATTTAAGTTAAAGTTTCATTTTTAAAAACTGAATGCAAAATTAACTGGGTCACAGTATACAATGAAAAATTTGAACAACAGAAAAATTTAAATATAAGAAATCCTTTTAAAACATAAAGTTCACATATTGCAAACAGAAGACACGGTGTGATTTCATTCCTAGTGAAGAGGAAGTCTTGCATATGGTAGGCACTCAATATTTGTTCAACTGGACCTAAAAATTTACATCATTCCACAGTTAAATAAAGCAGAGCTCATAATCTGTATATAAAAAAAAAAAGGTTTGCAAAATACTCTTATGTGTGCTAAAAGTGCTGTCTATATAATCTGAGAACACTAAAACAAACCCATTCACCCACTCACTTTCTTTTGTAAGAATACACTGAGTATTTTTATCCATCAAAGAGCATGCACATCCAAGTCAGAATCATTCATATCAAGTATACTTGGCTATGAACAAACCATGTTGAGTTGGATTTTTACAACACTTAACCTACGAATGAAGCTCCTATTCTTTTTTAGTAATGGTGTGTAGTATCTATGATCCACAATTTCATAAAGAATTCTGCTTAAATTTTAAGTGGGTATAAAGTAGTCATTATACTTTTGACAATTTAAACTTTTATTTAGATCTAGTTTAAAAATAAATCAGTAATGTTCATGACAACTTTTTCAGAGATCACTGTTAACATTTTAAAACTTATTTATATAACTGATGTCCTAAAAAGGCACTATTTTCACATTTCATCATGTAGTAAGTTGGTTACATTTATAAGAATTATAATTTCTTGTCAACCAATTATCCCTCCAAATAAAGCTTATTTCAATATGAATTTTCAACTAAACTGAACTGTCAACTTTTAACTAAGTTCTTTTCAGAAATTCACTCTTTTAAACATACCACACACAAGCCCAAGTGAATTCAGGTACGTACAACACACACACACACACACACACACACACACACATACACACACACAAATGACCACATATTTCATGCAAGATTCTCCACTTACTATTTCAAGACAATGACACGTGAGTATTCAAGGAGGTAACATTGGCAAGCCATATTATGGCACCTTCATATTTGTGCTCCAAATACCAATACACATTAAAATTAAAAAATGAAAAAGGCACAAATATAGTGTTTCTAAATCTTAGTCTAAAGAACATTTATCCAATAGATACTTTTATAATATGTAATATGTAAAATCACTCACTACTCTCTAAGGAAAAGTCCTGTTTAGATGGCATAAAGGAAACAGGAACAGGCTGATAGCTCAAAAGGCCAAGACTGCTCTGGACAGAATCTATGCCTGTTTTGAAAACAATATATGTGGTTTAAAACTGGGGGTGGGGGTGGCGGGAGAAGCGGGGTGAGAGGGGAAGACTACTGAAGCACTCACATCAGAATACATTAACAGTTTTTTTATCATTGCCTCAAAAACCCACAATACCAAAAATATACATAATAAATAAAAAAATAAATCAACTACCATATGATTCTGTTAGTATAATGGAAGGCATTATATTATCTGAAAGGTGGACATTTCTACAAACATGAATATTCTTATAGCACAGTGTTTGACATTTTTGGTACAAAATGTGCTACCAAGTTAAAACAACAACAACAAAAACACAAACAACTTTATAATAAAATCCTTAAGATTTACAATAAACACTAGAGTAAGGGCAAACTGAAATGTTCATTACATGGTATTATTACTGAAGTCACTGTGGTTAGAAGTGTAAATTCAAGCAGTGAATTAATTCACAATGTGCCGGTGTGGTATGCATTTGACATAAACGGATACACTAGTATTTTTCAGATATATGACAACATAATTCTATAGTCTGAGGCAATTTTTATTTTCCTATAAACCTTGGAAAAATCTTAAATTAGAATTATAAGTGTGTACATACATGTATTTTTAAACTGCACACTGTAAATTGAATAGGATTAAATCATAATGTTAAGGAAGCGAATTTCTACTCCCCATAATACACTCACATAAGACGAAGTCCATTACCAGGTCATAATCTTCTATCCCAAGGGATTCTGCCAATTTCAAATTTAAGTTACAAAAAAACCCAAGACACCTCATTTAAATTATTCTGGAAGAAGTTATCTGAAAATGTAATCTTTTCAAACTCCAGTTTGTTGTGGATAATAAATGCTTATTTGACAGTGTTTGTTCAATGTAAATACGAATTGCTCCTGATATATTAGGACTGCTTCAGTTAAAGAGATAGCAAAGATAAATCCTATATTAAAATCTCAAGCTTTTTTTCCCCTTCTGTCCTGAATTCAGAAACTAAATAATGAAATTATACACATTTTAATCTGGAGAATGAAATTATATATGCAAACATACAAGTATACGTATTTTTTTTCCAGTGACACATTTTTCCCCATGTGGTCAAATGTAAATCTAGTCTAAAAAGGACATTACCACTATTACAATAAATCAGATGTGGTGACCTGACACTGATCACTCCTGCTTCTTTTAAACCACACATCAGAACAGATACCCATTAGGAACATGACTATCAAACACTGAACATGTATATGTGTTTAAAGCTAAAATTCATTTCTAATAAAGAACTGGCCCATGAATAGCAGTTTATAAATAGTTTATCCTGTTCACATTATGCAGAATTTCAGTATCATCCACAATGTTAGTACAATAACTGAAACACAGAAGAGAAAACACGGGGTAAAAAAAGGTTCATAGTGTGGCCTGACACAGTTTATGAGTTCTCTCCTTTAGTATGCATCTCCCACAGTCAAATAATATTGGTTCATTATTTGAAGGAGAGTAGGCTGTGGTTTATTATTCAGGTGGCTCTTCCAAAGTGTGACAAAATAGTAAAAAATTCAATGAGTATCTGAAATCCAAGCCGACTCATTAACTATAATCAAGAATATCTTTCTTATCCATTATCACAAACATCCCAGTTGCCTCCACCTGTCTTAAAAAATTCTTTCAAAAGTTAAGACACTATTAATTATACCTTATTAATTCCCTCAAAAGCAAAAAAATATATGTACCACTCAGCATACAAAAGTTACACATTAAAAGTGCATATATATTTTTTCTAAATTGGCCCACTCATTAAATTTACATTTGGTCATCCTTACTTTTAACATGTACAGAACTCTTCATATAAACATAGGTCACTATAAGTTTTTTAAAAAAAGAATTACTTCAGCAAAAAACATGCACTCTTGTTGTTGAAATCTTAACCTCAATCAGTTCTCAATCATTGTAAACTTGGATAAGCCCACAGTTTGTTGGACAGTTAACATATAGACAAACGCCACAAATTTTACTAAAAATTGGGCCAATTCATTGCATATTTGCCCCCTGAAATGAAAAATAAATTAGAATTGAAGCAGTGTATTGCCATAACTTACCTTGAAGGTAAGCAGGTTCTCCTGTATTTATAGAACTTAAGACTAGAGACATTACTGGTAATCTCCAATACAAGTGCTTTTAAGGAGAATCTTTTTTTAAATTTTGAGATAGCACAGGACAAAGCCTGTAAAATTCATTTTTCTTTTCTCAAAATAATGGAAGATCCTTTTGAAACTTAATATCTTCAGTTATCAATATTACTGCATTATGGAGCTAGTGCAATCCTGCATAGCCTTGGTCAAAATGACAAGGCACAATAAAAAAATTAAAGTATTATATGAACAAGAGAAGTCATTGAAGATAATTTAAGGCCTTGAAGTGAATTAATCAGTCTAATTTAAAGCTGAAGAATAAACCATAAATTATCCACCTGAAATGCATGCGATATGCTTTTTCAGCTTCTGTTCTGTGGACAAGATAACAAAAACAACTCTTGCTTATGGTTTGTGTATTAGAATCCTTCTGGACCTGGAGGAGTAAAAGTCAATTCCATTTTTCTACGACTCGCGGAAGATTTCAGGACTGTTTTAGCCGCTTGCGTGGAATGCCAAACTGTGGACACTGAGCAGATGCTAGTGCTCGAAAGGCTTCTGCTACTAAGTGAGGGTGAGACTGAATCATGGACTTCCACCCTGATGTTTCCATTATGTCAGTTGCTTGGCTGAAAAATAAAATTAAAATATGCTCACTAAAGAATACTTTTCAAAATGCACTGCTATCAATTTTTTAAATTTTCATTTTAACTTTTACAAAGCAAAAGTTATAGAACTTTTTCCAAAAGAGTTTTACATTCTTTTAGTCTGTGAAATGTTTCTTCCCTTTGGCCCTCCCTCCCAACCTCTACTACCTACTTTCTACCACTCACTCCCTTCTCTATCGATTATCTTTAATTTGTAGATTTCACAATGGTTGAATACTGTCTCTAAATGTATTCAAATCATTTGAATTTATTAAAATATCATCTTCACCTGAACGGCATTTTCTGTTACAGCTGAAACTATTATATTTTTCTGGCAGTTCTACTCCCTTATATGATCCTGCTTTACTCTCACTGTTACCATTCCTGTATCAGGTGTCAAGAGCCTCCCCCCGCCCCCCTTTTTTTAAAAAACCTGTTTCTTATAAGCAAGTTTTCTCTAGAGTTCCAAATTTTATTCTTTACACTTCACCTTTAACATGCATTTTCATTCTATCTCATCTATGTCTTATGATTTCAATTATTATATTCAATGATAATAACTGTTAATTTGCTAAATCCTAGCCTAAGTCCTCCACAAGGTGATTCATTCTCAATCACTTGCTCTTTTTACCTGAATGTGCCTCAACACTCATAAATTCAGGACTGTCAGATAAGAACACATCATTTCTCTCTTGAAGTGCCAAATTTTTCCTCATTTTTAATAAGGTAAGCTTCCACCATTACTCAGTGATTCAAGTTAGAAATCCGGCAGTCAGCCTAATCTCTGTGCTCTCCAATCAATCATCAGAGCCTTATTTTAATTCCCAAAGATGTCTTGACTTCCTGGCTAGGGCCCAAATCATCTCACATTTGGATTATTACAATAGTTTCCCAATTTGTCTTCTAATATCCTATCTTGCCCCTTTCAAATCCAGCTTCCATGTCACTTAATAACGTAAATATGACTATACTACTTCTATTATTTCTCACGGGTTATGTTTAAGTTCTTCTGTTGCTGTTTTTTAGTTTCAGTTTGCTATGAGGTGTGTACACTCACCAGAGAGAGGGGAAGAGAGAGAGACGACAAAAAAATTTAAGTACTGTATGAATAAGAGAAGTCACTGAAGATAATTTAAGGCCATCTCTAGGGGGAAAGCCACTCCACAATCACTTCTGCATTCTCCTCTTGGGATTTTGGGCAAAAACACACCTACGCCCAGGCTGTTTTCCCAACCTGTGGGGTTTGGAACTAAAACAGTGCAGTCGGCTCTGTGGGATCTAGTTGCCTTCACCACCACACTACCTGCTGGTGCCCTTTAGTTAAGTTCTTTAGCAAGATAAGAGAAACATGGCTCCTTATTGCTGGTTCCTTACTACCTCTTTTTAGCATTCTAACTCCTACTTCCAAGACCTGGAATTTTGTCCTCTGGCACTGAAGTGCTTATTATACCCTATGTAGAAGTCTCACTGAGCATTTACACTTAAGCAACAAATCTAGTTACCCTCTTTATGCCTCCTCTCTTCTATCCCTACTACAATCTACTGTCCAAATAATAACCAAATATTACAGATTTTCCCTTCAAAGTTTCTTACATACTTTCATTTCTCTCTAATCCTATCACCAATCAAGTCTAATTACACCCATCTCATGAACTATTCTAGAAACTTTCCAACTAGTCTACCTATATTTAACTTTGCTTTTCAACTACCATCACCACCCTAAACTCTGCACAATCTTATTTTCAACCCTGCACACAGAGATTATTAAAATTGCAAACCTGATCATGCCCCACCCTAGATGAAAAGCCTTAACTGAAAGTCCATTACTCTTTGAATAATGTTTAAAGTGTCAAATGTGATTTTATATAGTCTTCCAGGATCTGGCCTCTGCCTGCTTTTGCAGGTTTCTCCTCATTATCTACCCCTCACCACATACTCTTACTCTACATTCCTCTTATCAACAAAATTTTACATATTTCTTTTCCATTTGCTGGGATACACTTTCCCTCCTCTCTGCCTCTTCTTCCCTAGGCTAACTCCGACCAATACCTCAGGTCTTTATTTTCACAATTCCATAAAAAGGTTTCCTCTGATGCCTAAATTAGGTTAGGTCCCTTTGCTATATGCTCATATGGGTATGCTATACATTCTTCAGCATCACATTTTATTGCAATAACCTCTTTAATTACCTATTTATTTAATCTACTTACTAAACTCTGAGCTTGAAGGTAGGAAAAACATGCTATGCTCACCACTATGTTCTTGTACCAAGCACAATGGCTTGTGGACTTGGTGGATAAGAAAATATAAGAGTATCTGACGAATGAATGACTAACGACTGTTTCATGCTTCTACACACTGGTTCATGTTACTGCTTTGTCTGCAATGCCTGTTACTTCCTTCTTAGTTCTGCTAATGCCTATTCATCTTTTAACACTTGGCTCAGTCACCTCCCAAACAGCCATTCTTAAATCTTCAGGCTTAGTCAGTACCCATATATATCCTCCTCTATCACATTACTTACCATATTATAATGAAATGATGTATTTATATATCAGTCTCTACTACATAAACTCTCACGAGGATTTCCCCTCAGAATTCTTTTACATATAGCACCTTGGCACGATGGCTAAGACACAACAGTGCCAGGTAAATGTCTGCTGAATTATATGTATCTGATATCAACACTTTTTAAAATTTGTCAGCTATCAAATATCCAATGTGTCATTATGTTTAAAATTTCAACTAATTGTTTAGAATCACATAGATACCTTTAATATATAACTCGCCTTTTCATGTACTTATTCAATGAACAGTTATTGAACATCTGTGCATACAACATGGCTTCTCCAGTGGGCAGAAAATAAGGTGATACAATTTGACATTGAAAAAGTTATGTAATTTTTTAAAAAGAATTATTTAACTTTATTAATCATTATTACTATTTTTAAATTTTGCTATAGGCCATGTGTGCTCACAAGAGACACACACAGAGAGAGAGAGAGAGAGAGAGAGAGAGGGAGGAGGAGGAGGAGGAGGGGAAAGAGAGAGAAAAAGAGAAAGAGAGAAAGCAATCTGCTGGGATTCAAACCATGGTCAGACATGTGGGAGTCTAGCACCTTTACCACCATGCCACTTGCTGGCCCCTATAATATATTTTCTTAACAGAGTAAAACTAGAGCCTGTAAGTCACTGGGTACTAAAGGATCATAGAATGGTTATTTGCTGCTAATATAGAATACTGTAAAATCAAAATGAATTTCTCCTAGGATCATGTACCATACACTGACCAATATATAGGACAACTAATTATTTAAAAGTAGTTACTTTTTTTTTGCTTTTGGAAAACAGAATTTACAAAGTAATAGGAATCCAGCTAACGAACTTCACATTTATCAAAACAGATAAAACAACAGGAAGTTAGGTCAGGAAACTATTTTTTTCACTTTCTTATTTCAACTTTCAACTTTGGGAAAACAGAATTTAAGGGTTTAGAGGTAAAACTAATAAAAAGCATAAGTGGAACTTTTTCAACCTATCAACTCTTTTACCTTTAAAATAACTACCTATTTAGTTAATCTATTAAACTATAAGCTTGAAGGTAGGAAAAACTTAATACGTTTTAAGAATAGAAAAGTTATTTTTAAATATGACAAAAGAAAAAAGTAGGGAATAAGTTCTAACAGTTTATATTCAGAAGTTCCAAGCTTAGAAAGATATAGCATCTACTAACTAACCCCTTATAGATTTATTAGGGAAAAGGAAAAATCAAATGGCTACGATTTTCGTATTAAGCAGCTGGCCTAACGCAACATATGATGTATGGTACTTGACTAACCTAAGAAGCAATGGGTTAGAACTCAAATATAAAGACATTCTAAACAAATTTGGAGGATAAACTCCTCATAGGAGTAAATGATTATTTCCTACATTTAAAAAAATGCTTTCTGGGGACCAGCAGTTAGCATAATGGCCAGGTCGCTGAACTCTCACGTAGTCGACCACAGTTCATGTCCCAGACCCAGTGGCTTAAACTCACGCCGGGCGTGTGTGCATGCGTGCTCAAGATCCCAAGAGGAGAATAGAGGAGAAGGGATTGCGCATGGCCATCCCCCCTAGGGGGTGATTTCTCGCTTTTTGTCTCTCTGTCTCTATCTGGTGAGCGCACGTGCCCTGTAGCAAAAACCTCTCCAAAAAAAAAGTTTAAAAAAATGCTTTCTGAAGGAGCTGGATCTCTAGCAGCCTTTAAAATACTTGACCTTAGCTATACGCACCTGATCTATGTGTATAAGAAATTAGAGGCTGGCAGGTGTTGTGGTGGACTACATCATGTCTGACTGCGGTCCAGTACATGCTAGACTCCCACGTGGCTGATCGCGGTTCGAGTCTTGGACCTGGAAGCTTGCCTTTTTACTTTCTCTCTCTCTCTCTGGTCAAATTAAAACAAATATAATAATAATAATAATAAAATTAAATAATTTTAAAAATTAAATATTTATCACAGTTTGCATTTGAAGTTGATTTATAAGGGAGCATAGCCTCAAGAATTCACTAAATACTCAAATTATTAAAGTAACTGGGATTGCTTCTTGGCATTTTGGCTAAGATCAAGTATATTTTTTTTTGGAGAGATTTTCACTGTAGGGCGCGTGCGCTCGCCAGACAGACAGAGACATAGAGACAGAAAGCGAGAAATCACCCCCCAGGGGGGATGGTCACGCCGCAATCCCTTCTCCTCCATTCTCCTCTCGGGATCTTGGGCACATACGCACACGCACCCGGCGTGAGTTTTAAGCCACCGGGTCCGGGACACGAACCGCGGTCGACTACATGGGAGTCCAGCGACATAGCCATTACGCTAACTGCTGGTTCCCAAGATCAAGTATATTTTAAAGTATTTGGAAGTCTGCTTCAGGTAACATCTGGACTCATACCTATTGTATTGCTTCTCAGTCTTTTGGCTAAGATTGGGTGTATTTTAAGTAATTATGAGTTTGCTTCATATAACTAACATATGGATTCATTTTTATTGTAGATGAAAAGAGACTATGCAAATATTTCATTTCATTTATGCAGATCAACTTTAAGCCAGAAACTGATGTTATCTTACTTGCCGTTCCAGTTTTTCCCATCTTTACACCCAAGTTGTCGAAGTACACTGCACCTGCATTGAAGATTTAAACACACTTAAAAAAAGCCCAGTGAAAAAAATGTTGAAGGTGTCATACTCACTGAAATACAGCATAGCATACCTATTAATAAAGTCTATGGCTTGTGCTTTCAACTGGTCTGCACTGTGCAAATCTGCAAGGACAAGGGTATCGGCAACATTTTCTACTGAGAGGTTACTGCATAAAGCTTCTTCACACATGACTTTCAGCCGTTCCAGTGCATACTAGCCAAAAGGAAAACACTGTCATTAAACATTTACTCTAACTACAAAGTTTTCAAATACATAATATCTGTAATTTAGAAAATAAAGTTAAAAGCAGATTATTCTTTGAACTAAGGTTAATTCGAAAATCTTTAACCTATTGCTTTAACCTAAAAAAGAATAAATGTGTTTAGGACAAAGATTACTTTTCTTTAGGAATTTTAATTTGTTTAAGTACAAAACAGTTATATACCATAGAACACTTTGATCAAGGGATCAAGGGCAGACTACATACATAACGGGGGTCCCATAAGATTATATAAAGGGACTTCAAAAAATTCCTGAAAAATTAGTAATCCACACACAGTTTTCAAAATATGCATTTTCTGTGAACTTGCTGAACACCTTTTGTACCATATCGTCTAGGTATGTAGTAGGCTGTACCATCCAGATTTGTGATCACTAAATAATGTTTGTACAACAGTGAAATAATAGAACAACGCTTTTCTCAGAAAATAACCATGTCATTAAGGACCACGTAACTGGGCAGTGTATTTTAAAAGCAGGGTTTATGAACCAGTTCCATGGCACAATGGTAACACACAGTTCAAGGGAAGCCAGATAGCACATGGCACTATCGTTTAAATTCCTAGCTTAGCCTAATACACATGTGCATGAGTGCCCAAGATTCAACACGTTAGTGGGCTGGAGAACTGGAAGAAGGAGATTGTAGCATGACCAGAGCCTGGGGAGGGTACTCCGCTTCCTTTCTCTTCATCTCACATGCACATACTCTATCACAAATTTAAAAAAAATTAAAGTAGCTAAAAGAAAAAAAAAAAGCTACCTTATTACTCAATATTCTCGATGATTTATCGTCTTTACTATGTCAAACACTAGAGTATAGTTCCCAGTAAACTCAGATTGCCACTACTCAGTACAAGAATGAATTTATTATAAAGCTAAGCAAATTACTGGGTTGTCAGAAAAGTCAGGATGCATTTTTGCAAAGAAAAACATAAAAAATTACATCATGACTTTCCTCACAAACACTAAAAAATCTTGCACTTATTAATATATCGTGTAACATCTTCAGCAGCTTTATTAAGGCATAATTGACACAAAGTGTCAATATGGGGTATGTGTAAATAAACTTTATTACATTTATTTAGCGATTTCGGCATTTTCTAGAGTTTTCTTTAAGTATAATCATATAGCACATACTCTTTTTTTGTTTCATTTTGACTCGTGCATGCTGTTGCCTCTGTATCAATACTTTAATCTTTTTCATTACTGAGTAGGATCCATTATATGTTAATATACAATTTGTTTATCCATTTACCTACTGATGAACTAGGTGGTTTCCAGTTCTCAGTGATAACAAAGAATGATACCGTGAACATTCATGTTTGAGTCCATGTATGAGCATATACTTTCTTTCCTCTTGAGAAAAACCTAAAAATGAGCCTTGTTGGATCATACGGTAAGTTTAATAGTTTAAGAAATGGCCAAAGGAGACCAGTAGATGGCGTGATGGTTACATTGCTGGACTCCCACAAAGTAGACCATGTTTGAGTCCTGGACCTGGCAGCTTAAAACTCATGCCGGGCATGTGTGTGTGTGTATGTGTGTGCCTAAAATCCGAAGAGGAGAAGGGACTGAGGTGTGGCCCTCCCTCCTGGGAGGTGATTTCTTGCTTTCTGTCTCTCCAGCAAGCACACCCACCCTAGAGTAAAAATCCTTATTAACAAAAACAATAACAAAAAAAAACAGGGGATAGTGGATTTGTGTAGTGGTTACATTGCTGGACTCTCAAATGGCCAACCACAGTTCAAGTCCTGGACACAGCGGCTTCAAAATCATGCCTGGCACATGTGCGTGCATACCCAAGATCCCAGGAAGAGAAGGGATTATGGTGTGGCCATACCCCCAAGGGGTGATTTTTTACCTTCTTTGTCTCTGTCTCTCCAGCAAGGATAAATGCCCTATAGCTCTCTCCAAAAATCAAAGCAAGAAATAACCAAATAGTTTTACAAAGTGGTTGCACCATTTTACATTATCATCATCAGTATGTAAGAATCCAAATTCAGAACCAGCAGATAGTGTAATGGTTACTGGATTCCCATGTAGTTGATTCCCATGTAGTTAATTGTGGTTCGCGCCCTGAACCCAGTGGCTTAAAAAAACCTCATGCAGAGCACATGTTTGTGTGTGCCCAAAATTCTGAGATAAGAATGGAGAAGAAGGGATTGCAGCATGGCCATTACCCCTGGGGGGGTGATTTCTTGCTTTCTGTTTCTCTCTCTGTCTTTCCAGAGAGTACACATACCCCATAGCAAAAATCTCTCTCTCTCAAAACAAAAACAATTCTTCTAAATCCTCAACAACACTTAGGATGGTTTCCACAATTTTAGCCATTATTATAGGTGTGTAGAGGTCACTTTGTGGTAGTATTTTTTAAAAATTATTTACTTAATTTTATTTATTTATTATTATTATTAAATTTGACCAGAGAGAGAGAATAAGTGAGCAAGCAAATTGCAAGGTCCAGGACTTGAACTGTTGTTGGCCATGTGGGAGTCCAATGCCCTAACTACCACACCACCTGCCAGCCCCCATTCGGGGTGGTTTTAATTTCCATTTTCTAATGAAAAATGTTGAGCATCTTTCAGTGTACTTCATTGGCATTATTTTAGAAACTATTTGTTGAAACATTTTTTTCTTTTAGAAATAATATTGTTCACTTATACCTGAGTTTTGAGAGTTCTAAATATGTATCAAAAAATTAGATATAAATTCTGGATAAAAGTTGTTCATTAGATATATACTATGCAAGTATTTTCTCCCAGACTGTTGTTAATCTTTTTTTTCCTCTTATCTATGTCTCTTGAAAGAAAAAAGTTTAAAGTTTTATTGAAGTTTATTTTATCTTTTTTCTCTTTTGTAGGCCATGTTTTAGGTGTCACAACTAAGAAATTTTTGCTTTCTCCTAAGATCACAAAGTTTTCTATGTTTTTCCTTAATCTTAGATAGTTTTAGGTTTATAATCCATTTTACATTACTTTCTGTATACAGTGTGAGGTATACATCAAAGTTCACTTTTTCGGTTAGTTGATTTCCCATCAGTATTTGTTGAAGATGATCCTTTCTTCATGAAACCTTTCTTAGCAATTAGGTATCCATACATGTAAGAGTCTATCTTCATATCTCTATTCTGTTAGAATGAGTACTATTTTTTTTTTTAATTGCTAGAAGATGTGTGCATTTGCCAGAAAGAGAAAGAGGGAGGTGTGTCCCCACCCCTCACGATGAGGTGTAGTCTTTCCAGTCTTGTCCTACAATTTTCCATCCTGTCAGGATGTGGGACATGCATGCACATACACATAGCGTGTTTTTCAAGTAACCAGGGCTAGATTCTAACTGTAGTCAGTCACAAGGAATCCAGTTCCCTTAAACACAGAGCTACAGGTATGGCCTATGCTGTTTATCTTGAAATCATAAAATACTGTTTTAATTAATGAAGCTTTTTATAAGTCCTGATGTCAGGCAGTGTTAGTAGTCTGCTTTAATCTATCTTCTTTTTCAAAGTTATTTCATTGTTCTACATTCTCACGCTTTCATATAAATTTTAAAATCAGTTTGTCAACTTTTTTTTAAAAGACAGCTAAGATCTTAATGAAATATGTTGACTCTATTAACCATTTTAAAGAGAACTGGCCTTCTTAACAATATTGGGACTTTCAATTCATTAAGATTTATCTCTCGGGGAACCAGCAGTTAGTGTAATGGCTATGTTGCTGGACGCCCATGTAGTTGACCACGGTTCGCGTCCCGTACCTGGTGGCTTAAAACTCACACTGCGCGTGTGCGTGTGTGCCCAAGATCCCGAGAGGAGAATGGAGGAGAAGGGATTGCGGCGTGACCATCCCTCCGGGGGGTGATTTCTCGCTTTCTGTCTATCTCTCTCTGTCTGCCTGGTGAGCGCACGCGCCCTATAGAGAAAAAAACCTCTCCAAAAAAAAAAAAAAGATTTATCTCTCCATTTATTTAGACCTTCCTAAATTTCTCTTAGCATTATTTTGTAATTTTTAGTGTACAGGTATTGAACATCTTTTCTCAGGCTTATGTCTATGTACTTAATACTTGTGATGCCACTGGTATTTTGGTGTAAGTGCTATTTTTTAATTTAAATTTTTGTTGAGATAGTTACAAATTTACATACAAGTGTAAGACATAATAGTTATCTTTTTACCTGGCCCAATTTCACCCAATAGGAATCTTTGTTTTTTTTTTTCAAATGGTACACACACACACACTACCTATATTCACATATACATACATGCATACACACACATGCACATGCATACACACACACACACACACCCTGAATGAGCTTTTTTGCTATATGGCATCTGCTCATCAGAGACAGAAAGCAAGAAATTACCACCCAGCGGTGTATGGTCATGCCACAATGCCTTTTCCTCCATTCTCCTTTCAGGATTTTGGGCATGCACACACACGTAGCCAGTGTGAGTCTCAAGCCACCAGGTCCGGGACAAGAACCACAGTTGGCCAGGTGGGAAGCTAGCACCTTAACGACTACACCACCTATTGCCCCCCCGAATAAGCTTTTAAGATGGAGAATTACTGACTTCAGTATTTTCTGGTATCTTTTGCAGTTTCCCTACCTTCAAGAAATCATAATTACAAAAGAGCATTATAAAATTAACATTAATTTCTCTTTCTATGCCACCATATTACAAAAACTAATCTCTGAATACAGAAAATTAAATTGTACAAAAAGGTTAATCACAGTTTAGCCTATTTCAAAATTGCTTTTTCCATATATTGTCTCAAGGTACTTTTGTATCTTGTTGATTCTTAAATTTTAAATCTCATTTCCACATTAGCCCACTGTATGCTATTTTATAAAACTCTCAAGAGCTATCTACAAATAGTATAAAATAATTCAATATTTCATGGTATCTGGAGTTTTCATTTGGTGACAGTTTTCTATATACATCAAGCTTGAGGATATTTTTCAGCTCCTGAAGACCTAATTACTTACTTTGTCTGCAGCTGCCAACAAGTTGTCAGCCATTTTGTCAAGATTTGGTGCTTTCCCTGTGTACACGAATCTCATCATTTCTTTAAAAACCTCAGGGTCTAAATCATTGATTTCCACTCGATTCTGTTATTGAAAATAACACAAAAAAGTTAAGGAACATTTACACAAAAATGAACCAAAGGGAATTTTAAAAGCCTCAAATCTGTACTAAAGTATTTTATAACTCAAATATATATATGTGTGTATATACAACACACACACATGCACACACACACACACACAGATCTTTCTAAACTCCACTTAAAAACTAAGGCAAGTAACTCTTTAGTAACTTAATCAGGTAAAGTAAAGTGGTAAGCATAAGAGGAAAGTTCTACTGTGTGAGGGGTGGCAACCACGATCAGCTGAAGTCCACACCCTGATACTCAGACCAAACTAAGCACTATAAATGTGGAAGCGTAAGATCCAATTTCTCAATTAAAAAAGAGTTAAAAAACAAAATAGAAACAAGAAAGCCTTGCAGGTCAATGAAATATCTCTTTGTTTAACTCCTGACCTCTGTATTAAAAGATGGTATTAATGTTTTCTTTGGTGAATTCCTACAGCCTAGCATAATGCCTAAGACCCCATAACCAACAGTTTTATTCATGTAGCAAAGTGACAGACAGGTATTTGATATAACAAAGCTCACAACTTCAGAACTCTTCCTTTTGTAAAAATGACAGGTACTCTCATCTACTGACACTTCCTTGCTTACCTGAGACACTTAAGTCCAAAGAGGACTAGTTTGTTTTTTATGTCTGTATCTGTATTTTTCCTGTGCATCCACACGGAGTTACATCTATTATTCTATTATGGAACACTTATTTCCCCATCTTTTTATGAAATTCTATAATTTTTTCCCACTTATCACAGCATGACAATGAGAACATGCACTGTTATTATTAAAATATACATTGCACTATTTTACATTTGTACGAATTAAATATTAGTCTTTAAACGATATTTACCTTTTTACTCTCTTCCATTTCATGCTCAAACATTGCATTAAAAACTGGGGAACGGGCTGTAACAAGATTAGGCATCATTACTTAATGCATAAATTTATTTAAAACACATATTACATTTCCCAAAAGTAGAAAGTACCTGCAAGCACAGATTTATGAGCTTTAAATTCTTGTCCTCTCACAAAAAAACTGCAATCTGTAAATCTTGTGTTTTCCCAGAGATTACCTAAATCTTCTGCTAGTCGACATTCGGGCACCTTCAAAGTATTTGTGTTAGTATGTCCTGATATATTTATTGAATCTTGGACCACACTCACCTAGTTAAGAAAGGGACAGTAAGAAAAATATTTTCACAAATGAATATCAATACTTAGTTTATACTGAAATGTTTATATTTAAAATACTTCAGATAATTTAACATACCAGTGATAATCTGAGCACCTAAGAACTGAATATAAGACACAATTTTAAAGAGAAAAAATAAATAATTAGAGAAACAATACAGAAAAAATTAGAAACATATATTTTTTTTTCAGTAGTGACAATCTATATAAATATAGTATATGGCTTATGGACTAGCTGGAATGCTTGATTATTAAGGTAGTTACAAAAAAATAAATCTCTCAACAAAAAAGCCACAATACAATGTCAAACTCAAAAAGGAGAAGACATTTTTGTGAAGCAGAGGAAGAAATTCCTCTTTATTGTCTCCATTACACTTCAGATCTATTAACATTTAAATGTTACTAAATATATACAATAAACATAGTATAAGGCTCATAATTATTTTTTCCAGTACAAAAAAGAGTTATAAAAAAAAACTATAGTCTATGATATACAAACTGGGAAGTATTTTAAGTGTTGTTTCTACATGTTTTAACTCTAATAAAACTGATTTAAATTTTGAAGTCCAAGAATTCCTACAAAAGCATTAAAGTTAATGAAAATCTTTTATGGAAAATTAACAGCAAAAGTAACACAAGTATAATTTGGTCAAGTTACAGGCCTTTAAATATTTTAATATGAAATAATAAATAGAAGAATAATTTGGGCATTGCTTTTATGTATATTCAATATAATATAGACTAAACTATCTCCCATTCAAGATAAGAATATTCAATAAAACCCTCAAAAACTATTGACTGTCTTATACACAAAGAAAAGGTATGCTACTAATAATATATCATTGGAAATTTCACCTTTTGTTTAATAAATTAAAGAAAATACTACCTTAATTAGTAAAGCAAATGTTTCAGAGTAAGTGAATTTTTTTCTTTGTAAATAAGGGTGCTCTATGAGTTACCTATTGTTGTTTTAAGGTACCAGATTTTGTTGTCATATTTTATGTAACAATAGATAGTTGCATACATTTAAATATTAGGTTGCTCTAAAAGTCATGCCTATTTTTCTGTTTCTGTATACAAAAATACATTATAATTTTTCTGACAACCTTAAATATTTCATAAAGGCTTTTTTTAATCAAATAAATGTATAAATAAGGATAAAGATAAATACAGTAAACTATGTAGAAAACATAAATTAGAAATCAATAAAATGGACCAAACTATTAATATACTAACACATAAAGTATAATAATGGGTCAGTGTGAGAGCTCCAGAGACTATTAATATTAAGCCTCAGAAGTCCTGATTCACCTATCAACAGATACACAAACATGTACCTCATGTGAATGAAAGGGTATTTCTAAATAATAAAAAAACTAGTAAACTTAATCTCCTTTTTTACATTTTTTTTGGTATCAAACAATTTTTTATATTATTTAAAATTAGTACTATTACTTTTTCATAATTATGATCAAGAAGTATCTGTGGCCAGATAGTGGCCCAGCAGTAATGCAAGTGGACCCATTGGGAATGTCTGAAGGTCTTGTCTGAGGCCAGCCCCAACATGAGGGGCATGCTGATGCCTATTATAGCTGGGTTGGCTGAGGCTTGGGGAAGGCCTGTGTGGGGGACTTGTGTGGGGACCTTGCTGAGAGTGTCAGTCTTTCTCTCAGAAGAAATAAAAATATAAAGTTTAAAAAAAAAAAAAAAGAAAGGCAGCTACTGCAACATGTAAGATATTTTTCTAAAGAGCAGGCCAAGATATAGTGTATATAAATCCACCAATAAAGTGTCTCCAATTTCCTATTCTATCGAATTTCTCAAATTTTAGTAACTATAAAACAGGGGTTTAAAAAAATCTCCACTAATCCTAACTTGTTTGTCTTGCTCCACTATACATTATAACCTAATGATACATAAACCAAAAATGATGGTGTTGATATTTCAGGGTCTGGTTAGGGATCAGCATTTTAGAACACAGACACTACTTATTTGTACTGCTCTTGAAATTTCTAGAGAGAAAGAAATGGATCCATTCAATTACTTGGTAAAATATTCAATAGAGTTGTAAAAATGTAATAACATACTTAAGAGAGGATTGTTAAATACTATTTATTATCTCTTATCCTAATTCAAAATAATGTATTTAATATAAAAATTTGATAAGAATCAAGTGACACAAGAAATAAAGTTATACAGAAATACACTATTAATACCTTATTAATAATGTCATTAATTAGACATTATAGATGGTGATGATGCTATATTAGTACTTTGTATAAGCAATTGCAATACAGAAGAATTTGTATTACTGACATACCCATATCATAGTAACTAGAAATTGTAACACACACATAATTAACATTTCCTACTCCAAAGACTGTTCAAGGAACTTTTTACAGAGCAGAGATCAATGATCTAATTAAAGACTCAAAGGCAATAAATTATGATGATTATTTTCTTGATGCCTGCGATTAAAAAAATAAAAATTTCGTTTTCTCTATCACATTTAAATATAATGTAATGAACAAATTTACTCTATGAAACCCAGAATAAAAAATTCAGGAAAAAGGCTGAGATTCCTCCCTCAGATCAACTTTGTTCTTCTCTCAAAATAAGGAGAAAAAGAAAAAAAAAAAAAAAGACAAGTGCATGATGCTCATAATTGTCAAATGTTACAAAGCAAAACCTTAGACTCATTTGACAGACCTTTTTCAAACTTGTTTTTGGCTCAACCCTAAAAATATTTACCAACAGAATGAAGATGAATATGTAAGAAACCTAATCAATTCTGTGACTACCCTGAAAATCTGGATCTCCTCCAGTGTGGAACTAAGGCAACAGTTCCTTTTCTGAAAAAACTCTGCCAGAGGGCTTGTGCGCTCACTAGCGAGAGAGAAAGACAAAGTACCCTCCATGGAAATGGTCACACCATAATCCTATCTCTATCTTTCTCTTCCATCAGGATTTGGGGCACACATGTATAAATATCCAGTATGCTATTTAAGCCACTGAGTCTAGGACTTGAACTATGCAGTCAACCATATGAGGTCTCGCTTCCTAACCACCAGGGCACGGGATGGTCTAGTTCTAATTTTTTTAAATGTGAATTCTCCAAACTAATTTTAATAAGCTAGAAATGTTCAAAGTGGCATAGTACTACAATTTTACCACTCTTAATTTGACTGTACCTCAGACTGGATCCAAAGTGAAAAACTTGTAACAGTTCAATTTTGCACTGTTTTCTATAACAGTAGGTCTTAGATCTTTTGACTTTCATAAATAAGTCATTTTTTAGAACTCATGATAGAAATATGCAGTCAACTTTCTGTGTTTCCAAGAAAGTGCTCTTTAAAAAATACCAGCACATCTCTTTTTTTCTCTTTCTTTTTTTTGGGAGAGGTTTTTGCTATAGGGTGTGTGCACTCGCCAGAAAGACAGAGAAAGCGAGAAATCACCCCCCCCAAGGGGGATGGCCACGCTGCAATCCCTTCTCCTCCATTCTCCTCTTGGGATCTTGGACACACAAGCACACGTGCCCCAGCGTCAGTTTAAGCCACCACCAGGTCTGGGGACTCGAACCACAGTCAACTACATGGGAATCTAGAGACAGCCATTACTCCAACTGTTGGTCCCATGCACATCTTTCTTAATGATGGAGTTCCGTTCCTATGATTATGTCATTAAGTGAACTCGTTGATAAGTGAGGAGCTTAAAGGTGGATGTATTGTGGTATGCTGTGGTACCATTGGGTATGTATTTTTCAACAGCTATCACACAACACTACACTAGAATAATGTAATTCTACCCATACAGAAAGCATACATTAGATAAGTGCCAAAAGTGACAAGACACACCACAATGCAAAAATATAAATCTAGAAAAATCTTTTTTTTTATTCTAGATACTATGCGTGCACAATAAAGTACAATTTATCAAAAAAGTATGTAGTCTTACATGATTGTGAAACTACAGTATTAACTGACTATAGGACTGAGACAAAAAGACTAAGAAAGGGGATTCCCCATATTGAAGAGCCAGAGAACTGGTTATGAACGGTCGTTAAACAAGTAGGTCATTAAACAGGGAGGTTAAGTAAAAAGTGGCTATAAAACCCAATTTCCAACCACTGTCACAAGTATTTTGTAACAGAAAGGATATGTTAGGGTAAAAAAAAGTAAGGGAAAAAGAGATGTGACCTTAAAAATCAGAAAGTTTAACTTTCATCAGTTTTTCATTTTTCTTACTTATTCCTCAGCCTCTGTTTTCTGCATCATTTTTGAAAAAGAGGGGCCAGAATAGTTTATGCGGCTAGAAATCTCAGTTATCTCGGGACCACTTGGCCTCTATATGGAATTTGCATAAATAAGCTATGTCTTGCAGAAAAAGGAAAGCACCCAACTGCCTTACCTGTCTACAGCACCACTTGCAGGGGAGGGGGAGGAGGCAGTTCTTTAGGAAGGGCAGTGCAATGCTTCCTCCTCTTCTGCAAGCAGTGCTGGAGATGCTGTAGAAGGAAGGGCATCCGTGAGAGGGGTGGAAGGAATGATGGAGGGCATGAAAAAATGTGGGTTAAGAACACATTTTGCCCATCTATGCTAAATATGGTGCCCAGGGTGTTAATATATCTATATCACTAAAAAGATGTATATTTCAGGATACAAAAATGAATGTGATCAATGCCAACTTAAAAATGTACAAGGGGGGAACCAGCAGTTAGCGTAATGGACTCCCACGTAGTTGACCGCAGTTCGCATCCTGGACCCGGTGGCTTAGAACTCATGCCGGGCGCGTGTGTGTGCGTGCCCAAGATCCCGAGAGGAAAATGGAAGAGAAGGGATTGTGGCATGACCATCCCCCCGGGGGGGGGTGATTTCTCGCTTTCTGTCTCTATGTCTCTGTCTGTCTGGTGAGTGCATGCACCCTATAGTGAAAACCTCTCAAAAAAAAAAAAATGTACAAGGGTACTTCAAAAAGTTCACAGAAAACTGCAGGACCAACAGTTGGAGTAATGGCTGTGTCACTGAACTCCTATGTAGTCAACTGCAGTTCAAGTTCCAGACCCAGTGGCGTAAACTCATGCCGGGTGTGAATGGAGGAGAAGGGATTGTGGTGTGGCCATCCCCCCTGAGGGGGGGGGGGGGGTTTTCACTTTTTTTCTCTCTCTATCTATCTCCCAGGCAAGTATGTATGCCCTATAGCGAAAATCTCTCAAATGAACAAAAAAGAATAGCTCATTTGATTGGAAACTAAGTTAATTTCTTTTTCTTTGAATTATTCTAGAGCTATGTTATAATTTCTCTCCCTAGGTAAGAGATACAGTGCATAGATGAAGTATGAATGGTATCCCTACCCCCTTTATTTCTTTTCTTTTCTTCTTCTTCTTTTTTTCTTTTAAACATTTTCCCTATAGGACACATCCTGGGTAGAGACAGACATAGAGATAGGAAAAGTTGAAATATCACTCCTCAGGGGGAAGGGCCATGCCACCATCCATTCTCCTCTCAGGATTTTGGGCATGCAAGCACATATGCCTGGCTTATTTTTTAAGCCATCAGGTCCAGGATTCAAACTGTGGAGTCAGCCAGATGGTACCCAGTGCCTTAACCATCAAGCTATCTACTGGCCCACCTCCATACTTGTTTTAACTGCTTAAGAGTGAAGTAATTCATTGGAAAATATGTTGATGCCTCAAAGTGCCAATGTTTTGGGAAGTAATGTCTAGTATGGTAAACCAAGATTTAAAAAAAAAAAAAGATTCAGTGACATTTTTCTGCAGATTATCCATACTTTTCCATGAGATAACATTCTGTACTATCATGACTGATCTTCCCGAGCCATCGCCTGTCTGATTACTACTAGGTTCCGTGTGGCCATCCCCCCTGAGGGGGGGGGGGGATTTCTCACTTTCTGTCTCTCTGGTGAGCACACGTGCCCTATAGCGAAAACCTCTCCAAAAAAAAAAAAAAATCACAGAAAACTGGAATTAAAGTATGAGTTTATTTTGGGGCAAAGAACTTTTGAAACTCATACACAGTTTTTCCATAGTACACATTTTCATAAACTTCATGAGCCCCTTCATATGCCATGACGTTTTCTATTTTTAGGGTTTCATTAGTGTGTATAATCTAACATACAGATACCAGACAGAGTTCAAAAATATCAAAAAAAATCTTAAACTTAATTTCAGCCTTATTTCTGAAGTTTTTGGTTGTCTAGGTTCCAGTACAGTATACTTAGGAAAATATCTGTGAACAAACACTACTTCAATTCTGAAAACAGGAGTATTTTCTAGAAAGTCTTATTTACACAAAGACTTTGGCTGCAGTCATTTTGTTGTTAATTGTCTTTAAGGTCCTTTAAATCCTAAGATAATCTTTAAAAATTAACATGAAATTTAAGATAACTGCCAAAATTCTGAAAGATTCTATGTTAAGGGTACTAAAATTTTTAAAAAGTATGACCCGTATTTATTCAGAACACTACATAGAATATCTGTATGTTGGTAACAAAGGCTTTTAGTTTGTTTTATTTTTCAAATTATTTAATGGTAAGCTCTGTTCAAGAGCCCTATAATATACATTCTTTATCAACCAAGGAACTGTACTTCTAATAAATTCATTATATAATTCATTTAAGTTATCTAAGTAAATATAAGGTGCATTATATAATCTATGGGACAATATTCCTATTATTCTTCTGACATAAAATAATGACATACAATTACTTTATACAGTTTAGAATCATGTCAAAAATGTTACATATTTGCTATAAATTTTACATATATACTTAGTAGCAGTTAAGGAAGTTACTGTGCTTCCAAGAGACTTACATGTCCATCTACAACAATCTAATGAAATATTAATATAGTTAATTCTGAGTTTACTTGATCATAACCTTGTCAACTGGCAGTTGAAAATGATCAACTGCTTGGAATATTTCAATAAAAACTGCTACTGATGTACAGTCTCTATAAACTATGTTACTAGTATGGTGTAAATCTTGAATTTTCAACAAAGATGGATTTAAAATATTTGTATCACTAAAATGACTTAATGATAACAACAGAAACAAATCAAATCTTAAATTAAGATAAACTGTAAATGTAAATTTCTGGCAAGGCAATCTTTCAAAATCAGGCATTTTATGCATATAGATATACCTTGTAAGTTTGTCAAGAGACAAGGGAATATCTTAAAAATTTGAGATCTATTTTTTTAGAATGTTAATACCTATTTAATTAAATTAATACAACTACATAAGTAATCAGAAAACATACCAGTCTTTTTAAGATATTTTTGGATTCAAATAGATAATGCTTAATATGGTTAATATGAAAATTAAAAAAACTGACCATCTTGTCAGAGTTATTCAGTATGAAGAAGATACTCAGAAATGTCCATATAAAAGTGTACATATCCAAAGCCTTCTAAAGGAAGAAGGATTTAGTGTGTGATAAGATAACTGAACACACCATTTATAGATATAGATATGACAAAATTTTTCCAGACTGGGTCAATATATTGATTTGTAAAACAATCTAGTCAGCTTTTCCTAGTCATGTATTTATAAATAAAACCTTATCAATTATAGCACTTAATTTTCTAAGTATGCCTAATACTAACACAGTTTATATCTTTGCTGTATCACTAAATATAATCACGAAGTTCCTTATAGTAAAAAAAAAAAAAAAAAAGTACCTACCTCACAAAATAATGTAAGCTTGTCATCTGGTAAAAGACCATTAGCTTCATCAAGCAAAAAATCCCTTCTAATGAATTTTTTAAAACCCCAATCTTTCCCTTGCACAAATCGATATGCTCTTTGACTTTCTGGTAAAAAATAGAATAAAAGTTTAAATAAAACAAATATCTAGGAGACATTTTTATTAATCTTAACACAGTAAAATGAAATATACAAAAATAGGGCATAGACAATAATACATCTGTCATAAAAATTACACATGTGTGCTCCTAAGTAAAATGTCAGGTAAAACCAGATCACTACACACCACTAGTCAAATTTTGGCCATCATCAAGGAGTTCGATTTCAGACTTTTGGATCTCTAAATAGAAAAGTCAGATCAAATTCCATGGAGAAAGAAAGAGATCCTTTAAAATCTAGGCCCTCTAAGACAATGAAATAGAATAAAAATACGTTGGTTTAGGCATATTATCCATCACTTAATATAAAAAACTGGTTGAAACATACCTCTTATTTTCTGTTTCTCCCTTTAAAATGGATGTTTTAAATCATCAAGACATCTTTGAAGCTTTCCTGGCATACTCAACCCAATGATTTAAGTTTCACTGAACTATAGAAAAATCCATTAACCAGTTATTGTAAGCCCCTAGACATAATTTCCTGGTTCCTACATAAACTTTTTATAAAAAGTCCAAAAGATACCTCTAAAATATCTTGTGAAGATTTAATAAATCTGAAGTGAATGTTACAAATGCCTAAGACAACTGAATGACAACTATATGATACTAAGAAATAAACAAGATCCCCTATAGAAAGTATTATCTATTATGCAAGGAATATAATGTAATTGAAAATACTCCACTATCTTTTTTTTTTTTTAAACTTGCTATAAGGCATGTGCACTTGCCAGAGAGAGAAACAGAGAGACAGAGAGGGAAAGTGAGAAAGCACCTCACAGTGTGTGTTTGTGTGTGTGTGTGTGTGTCTGTGTGTGGTGGGAGGATGCAGAGGGTGCACCCAGCCACACCACAATCCATTCTCCATTCTCTCAGAATTTGGGGCACACATGCCTAATATGTTTTCCAAGCCAAAGGTCCAAGACTCAAAACATTCATCTGGTCAGTGGGATCCTGCTGCCCTAAGCACAATGCTACCTGGCTGGCCCTCCACTATCTTAAATGTGAGACAGTGTGAAAATGTATATGGAAAAAATGTTTTAGTTCCGCAATAAAACAGATTATTCAAAAATGTGTGTGTAAGGAGATTTTTTGTAATGAACTTACTTGATTGTTATCCACTTGAAGAAAATATTTAAAATTTAACATGGTAGTTCATGAGATTTTTGATAATTATGCACACTGTGTATTTCTTTCAGTACTCTTCTTTTATGAAGCTCCCTCTTATAGTATTTTAGGTACCTGGATATGTGAATCCTGGTCTAAATTTAATAGTCCCTGAGACTAAGAAAAACTGATTTCCTTCCAGTCAGTTCAACTAACTGCTCAAAAATTTTTAGTGACAAAATATCAGGGCATTCCATGTCCTTCAAATTGTTCTTCATATTTTACTACCTAGCAAAACAGGCAAAAGAAAAGGGAAAGATTTCTTGAATATCTACTATCTACATCAAGTATGGAACCAGGCACCTTGTCCTAACAGTAGCTATTTTTCCGAGTGACAAGTAAACGTTATTTTAGGACATAGGCTAAATTTTAATATTACTTTTACATGCCTTTGATGTCTAAGACTTTAAAAAAATCTATAGCTCTACCTACAATTTAAAATTAAATAATGGCCAAATTAAAATTTTAAGACTAAATGAATTTTGGTAGGAAAAAATCCAAAGCTTTTCTAGGTTAAGGTGCAGAAGTCACAATACGTAATTACACAGAGACTTCTTCACTCAGTTTGTGAAATCACTTACCCATTGCTTTTGTTTCTTCCCTTTTAGCATTCAGAAGGGAAAATTTGAATTTTGCTCGAACTTCACTTTTGGGGCAGCTGACTAAAAGCAAATATAAGGACAAGTAGTCTTTACTTTCATCATCTAATCCCTTTGGGTTTACCCTCAGGCACCTAAAATAAAACAATAGGCTCACATGGAGGAATATAATACTTAAAGCATTTTAAAGAGAGAGGCAACACTGAAATCATTTGTTAATTAACATCATGAACAGCATTCTTGTTAATATTCCCACAGTTCTTTACAATTCTCTATACTACTAGGAACTTATTATCCCTCTAATATAAATTAGATCAATATTCATTCAGAAACAATAGTAATAACAAAATCATAAATAGCTGATATCACATCAAAAATAACAAACAAAAATCCAAAACATACAAAAATCTTACCATTTCATTTTGTCATTTGGGCCAGATGAAAATGTTGAACTTTTTAACACTTCTCCCATTTCCTCTCGACAAAAGCTGAAGTTATTAATGGTCCACATATAGGAAAATTTTACTACTTTAACCTAAGAAATTCAGAAAACCACTTTTAGAATGGTACCTCTTTCGCTTTTCACCTGTCACATGTTAAACACTCTATGATCCATTCTAATACTTCTAATAACTACGCCAATGCATTTCACAGTAATATTCTTGGTATCTGTAAAATTTAGATGATGTAAAGCAGACATTTCTAACAGCATGTACCTGTGTATAACACCAGCTTTCTGCTATAGGACCAGCAGACATATCTCCAGGTAGAGGTGGGGTGGGTTCCCGAGACATTGTCACTTTACTGTAGTCTTTTAGGATTTATACAGTAACCCCACACAGTTGAGTACTCTGTCTACAAAGAAAATAAATTTGAATTACTGATCAAAAATCTTAACTGACAAAATCAAGAGGTAAAAAATACTTAAAGGTCATAAATTGATTACTATCCCAAATTAGATTATGAAGAAAAAATGACAATTTCAAATAATTTCAATAACTTTTCAGAAATGAAATCATAAGACTCTGTAACATATGACACTTGAAATTGAAACAAACCTAATATTTACAGATAAGACATTGTTCTGTCAAGGCATATTTTCCAAAATATCACACATCAAAAAACAATATAGCTTAATATTAGAATCATAAACAGAAAATAACAAAATGCCATGGAAACTTAATGACATCAATTAATAACTGATTTATCATTGTTCACCTTTTCATTAACATATTTATGAAAACCAAAAGTACTGCATGCAAAGTTTGAACTATAAGCACTCTCATTTGCCAGACTCCAGGTTTTCACCAAGTGAAACAGAATGCGATTTAACAGGTAATGCTCTGTAAGATCTGCAAAGATTTCCACTAAAGTTTGTATCTATCTTGGACAATAAGGTTCTCTAAGAAGAATCTGTCCCTATCAATCAGAATGCTTCCTACTGAGATGTACCATATCATAAAATTTTGTCCCAGTTCCATGTTCTTATGCTACATTCATTTGTACACATAAGATCTCGAAAGATCTAGCCAGTGTTACTGACTAGATAATGATGTTTTGTAACTTGAAAAGGCCATGAAAGTAAAAGACAAAATCAAAGAGCTATATGAGTAGCTTACAGAGCTACATAAGTAATATACTTTATAGGGACAAGGGAGGCTTAAGATTATGTTTCAGGGCCAAGCCATGGTATGGTGGGTAAGGCAGCTAAATCCCATCTAAACCCCACATGGCCAACTGTACAGTAAAGAATCCTGGACCTGATGGCTTGGGAAACATGCTGGGTGGAGCTAGGAGGTGGCATGGTGATTAATGCACTGGATCCCACATGGCCAATTGAGACATTTGAGGCCTAGACCGGGCAACTTGAAAAACACACTGAGCGCATGTGTGTACCTGCTCAAAATCCTGAGAGGAGAGGAGATTGAGGTGTGGCCCCTGGAAGGGGAGGGTGACTTCTCATTTTCTCTCTCCCTCTGTGTGTGTCTCTCTCTCTCTAGTGAGCACATATGCCCTATGTCAAAAATCTAAAAAAGAAAAACAGGTTGGGTCCATGTGTGTCATGCCCAAAATCCCATAGGAGGAAGAAATGGAGAGGGAATTATGACCATCTCCTAGGAGACATTCTCTCTCTCTCTCTCTCTCCTGTAAGCTCATACAAAAATCTAAAAATAAAGATTGCACTCCAGAATAGGGACTCAAGTCTGATGAGCCTCTTTTCATTTAGGAATCATAAGGCAAGAACACTACCTAACTCTTTGGGTGAAACAAAAAGGACTTCGTCCTAAAGGCAGAGGAAAATATTCCATAAAACAATGATCCATGATGGGAGAATAAAGACTGAAGAAAGCTGTCTGAAAGATACAGAGACATAAAAAGAGGTACAAAAGATAGAAAAACACTTAAAATTTTGAATTAAAAATCTCCACTAGAAATAAGAAATACATTCAATATGAGGAGGAACATCCTAGAATCGGAATCAGAGGAACATATAAAGAAAACAAAAGAGGGGACAGATAATGAACAAAATTAGAATAACTCCCCAGATGATTATTCCAGATGAAACTAAAACAAATGGAACAGTAGTTACAAATCAAACAGACTCAGACTTCAGATTCTACTGAGTGGAACAAAGAACTTGGTCTTGGAACTTGGTGAATTAACTCTATAATAACCAAACAAAATAAGAAATCACAACTGAAATACATTTCTATGAAACTCAAAATGAGGTAGAACATGTTACAAAAATCAAGATGGCCTCATTTTCCCCTTACTGCAAAAAGCCCAAAGTAAAACAGGATAATTGCTTCAGAATTCAAATGAGGGGATGTGATACGACACAAAATGTTATGTTTTAAAATGTTTTTGTCCAAGTTCTAAAACTTAATTGCCAGTTGTATAAAACAAATATGTCATTTTCACAGCTTTTTGATGCAGGGGATAAATAAATTCAAGTTATTTATTAGCTGAAAACTAGATAGATTTACTAGATAAATCAAAAGGAAAAACGATAATGACTGCCATAATGGAGAAGTTCTGGTATTTATACCACTAAAAAATTAAAACAAATCCATGTTTTAAAGTGAATGGATATGTCAAAAAATGATTCTCAAAAAACTGACAAATAATTCAATAGAATAAAATATTAAGTAAAACTATAAAATAACAATTATTCTCAAAAGGCACAGAATCAGCAGGCCCAGCACTTACTGGGCCACCAGAAAAGTCATGATGTATTTTTCTATGCAAAAATGATCATGACTTTCCCAACAACCTAATAGTTTTAATATATATAAATGAGGGGAAGATATTCATCTAATTCTTACAATCAAGAAACAGTTGATTCAAATCAGAAGCCAGGTTTGGTGAAAAACCATCTAACTTATATGATTAAAAATTCAGTTCAATGCCGGCCCCACAACTCAGCAGTTAGCCACAGTGCATGGCAAGTTGGATTCCACACAGCTGAACATAGCATGTATCCTGTCCCTTAATCCTGATGGGATGGAGAAATGGAGGAAAAAAGGACTTCACTATGACCATGTCCCATTGGGGGTTCTCTCTTTCTCTCTCTCTGGTGCCCACAAGCCCCTTCTGGAAATAATAACAATAATAAAATATTTAGTTCAAAGGAAGAGGACTTGCAAATTAATTAGAATTCATTCACAAGCAGGTATTAAATAAGTAGTTACTATTTATAATATATTCTTCAAGTGTAGGAAATACACTAGTGAAAAAGTAGTAAGGACTTAAATAACTAAGCAAGGTAAGAATGAGTAGTAGTAAGTGAAATTAAATAAGAGAAACTGGATAAAGTAATTGTTATGCAGTAATTGATAATTCTTCAACTGGATAATAAGGAGACTACTTTAGGTATTGTAGCCAGTTAAGGCTTCTCTAAAGAGTTAGTATGTATGCTGACAACTAAAAGCTAAGAAAAACATCAGAGACAAGTCAAGAGATGTTTATAAGAAATGAGAAAGAACAGCAAGTGTAAATGCCACAGAGAAGGAAAGAATGTGTGAATGCTTCAGAAAGAGAAAGGAGTCTGTATTGGTCGGCATTCTCCAGAGAAGATATACATTTATTTTGAAAGGCCTTAATGAATTAATCCACACAGTCACAAAGCAGAGAAGTCCTACAAAGACTGTTGGTAAGCCAAAGAAATAGTTCTAACACTTGGAAGCAGAGAAGCTAGTGTAGTTCCAAGTCCAGGGCTAAAGGTCTGAGGGCCCTTGGAAAGATATAGGCCTGGACATTCATTAGCAACCACTGGCAGGAGTTCAAAGTCCAAAAGTTAAAGAAGCTGGATGGCTTCGGTCTGGTTGGAAGAAACAGGTGTCAAGCACCAGAGGAATCAAAACACACAGCCAAGTTGCAGAGCAGGGAGGAAGTGAGAAGGCAGATGTGCAAGGCCTCAGGAGTAGAACACACAGCTTGCTCTAGAAGGAAGCTGCAGAGAGAGGAAACAAAATCCCCCACTTCCTCTTTGTGTCCCTCCTGGACTCCCAGCTAATTAGAGGTGCCTGCCCACACTAAAGGCAGGTCTTCCTCTCTCAGTCTATTGACCTACAAGCTAATCTTGTCTGGCAACACTCTCAAAGGCAATCCAGGAACGAAGCTTCAACAGCTTCCATGTATTTATCATTAGTCACATTGACAACCTAAATTAACCATCGCAGAGTACAGTGTGGTTGATTACACTGAAGGATTTTAAGTAAGGAAAAGTATAATTTAGGTACTAGTAAGATCAGAATGAAAGCTTCCAGGAAATAAGCTGGTAATAAAGAATGGAGAAGAGTAAAAAAGCAAGAAAACAAATTAGGAGATTAAGACTGGCAAGAGATAAGACTGTAGACTAATATGGCATGCTAGTGTAGTGGGGATGGAGAAAGTGATCCCATCAGTTGAGGAAAATTTTAGAATCAACAGAATTTATGATTTAAAATTAAAGAAAGAAGAAAGGATAGGTCCTAGTTTAGGACTTTAACAACTAGGAGGATGGCAATGCCATATACCAGGATAAGGAAGACAGGGACAGAAATAGTAACTTTGGGGGCTGGGAAAATTGAATTTCAATAAAGAGATATATGCAACAACAAAAAATACTTCAAGTGGAGTAATTTTTAGTTAACCATTTACAATTATAGACTATTTATATAATCTCCCTAAAAAGAGTTGCTATTAACAATATGCTTATAGCAGAAAACATGAATGGGTGGTTCAGCAAGGCAGCCGGACAGAAAAACCTGGATTATAACACTAGGAATATTCTTAGTAGCACATACGTCTATCATCATCATTAAAGAAAAGACGAAGAAGACTGGATGCTGCTTATTTCATTAAAAAAGAAAGAAGGAATCAATGACAGAAGAAAGTAAGACTGCGTTAAAGAAAAGTAAATACACAGACTCAGCTTTGTGGCCTACAGATTAAAGGAGCCAGATCCCATATGGCCAAATGCATAGTTCAAAATGTCCCTAGGACTTGAAAAACACATTAAGCACATGTGCATATGTGCTCAAAATTCTGATGGGATGGACTAATGGAAAAGAGATTGCAGCATGACATTGTTCCATTGAGGGGTGCTTTCTACATTCCCTGTCCTATTTCTCTCTGGCAAGTACACATATTCTCTGGCAAATAAAATGAAAGTATTTAAAAACAGCATACAGAGTTAATAGATGTACAAACGTATACAGAAAAATAGATGCACTGAGTTGCACTTTGATTTTACAGTAATAATGCTAATAGACTATACATCTAAATATTAAAAGGCTATCTCCTGGTTACAAGACTTTTTTATTTTTATTTATATTTTCTAAATATGTTGCTATGGTTAAATTAATATAGAA